TATAGGTTGGCCACATTTACAGAGCAGTCTTTGGTTTAAAATGTAACTGATGTCGTTTGACTGATTGGGTTACCTCTCTGACATATTCAAAAACTAAATGAAACCACCACACTTCTTCAAGGCAAGGGAGGAGCCCAATTGGAAAAAATAAGAGGCTTGCGAAAAAAATATATATTTTTTAAAGCATCTGTGGAAAGCACAAACATCTCCAAATTTCGTCGGTTGCAAGAATATCTACATATTGTCGGTGATACTACAAAACGTTCTATGTCACTTATTACTTCTGGTGCTTAATTTATCTGTTATCTGTATACGATCGCTTCTGGCAATAGTTAATCTTCATCAGCTAAAGGTGACAGTTTTGTCATTCGTTTATTAGGGTGTAACGATTTGCAGATGCATTCCGGTGCAAGTAAGAGACCATATAAGTGTCAAGGGTACTAATAGACACAGACCGTTTTGCAAGAATGATAGAATACAAGATTGCGCCAATTGAGCTGAGAGCAACTGGGTGTGACGTCACATTATTTTGAGAATGAGAGTGTAAAGAATAATTTTGAAGACGAGTAAGAAGCGAACAAGTGGTGCGAAATAATGATGTAAAACTAGGTTGATTGTACCGCTCTTCAGCTTCTTAAATTTGAACGTACATTCGGTACAAGCACATTATTTTAGGTACATTTGGAACGTAGTAAAATATTGCTTCAAGTAGAAAAATTTTTATGGTACAAAGAAAGATGTAGTCCACCAACTACCAAAAATGTATGCACATAAAAATACATATTTACTGTTTAGGTACGTATATCTACTTTTAGGTACAACTTTTCGGCAAATTGGTACAATATGAAAATTTAATATTCATCACTAATGCGAAAAAATAATAATGTGACGTCAGCGAAAGGGTGGATGCTGTCAAATCGAGAAAGAGAGAACTAGCGGTTCGCTGAAGGCTCCACCTTTGTTTGGCTGCATCGTGACCGTTTTGCAGTTTCACCGATGATTTGTGTGTCTGCATTTTCAACAAATGCTTACATAAAACACAAATACAGAAGCAAGCTTTTAGCGTAAAATTATTTAAAGGAAATAATGTAAGCATCAAAACAATTTCATTCCTCACATTAAAGCTTAATGAGCATAAGATTTGCATTTTGTTTTCTTATTTTCGTAAACAGTCAAACCATTTTTAGAGTAGGTGTGCCGGGAATTTTTTTAGCATAAAAAGGGTGCCGCAGTAAAAAAAAGTTTGAGAGCGCCTGCTCTAAGATATGGCAAAACGGGAATGTAAAAAAAAAATTTCAAAAGTTATACAACATCCAAAATATAGGTGTCTCGGCGAAAGCCATTGTTTATCATATCATAGCTCGATAAATATTGGTTGTTTCAAAAAATCAATTAGTCCTTTTTTATTGACATAGTCAGTTTTATAAAAAAAAATATTTTTTAAGTCCTCTTCTCCATATGTTTGTTAATGAACAATCTAGAAAGTTGCTAAAAAAAACATGTTTGCAGGTTTTTAAAAATCTGCAAAGCATATATGTGATAGAGTGTATATGAAAGATTTAACTGACACATTTTTAAAGGGTGTCCCGATATAGGGGCTGAGATATTAATTGTTTCGTAAAGCAGTGACATCTTTGGTTTTGTTCTAAATAAAAAAATGTCGACGTGCTACAAAAATCCAAAGATGTATTTTAAATTAACATCACATTAAAAATAACAAATTTAATAATTTGTGCCAAAAAGATGGAGTTTTCCGCTTTATTTAAACCAAAATGATTAAGTTATCTCTGCCCGTTCAGGAGATATGGCCAATCAAAGAAATGATTATGTTAATATTAAATTCGCGATTTTTCACAAAGTAAGAGGATTATTGCAAAATAAAGTATAGGAAAACAAATATTAACTGGACCTCAATCAAAATACGTAACTATCTTGGTTATCCGAAAGAACAGGTTTTTAAGTGGCTCACTTGACGTATTTTGATCAAATTTTAATTAAAAATTTTTATTTCTTTCATCAGTCACTACTTTACGAAACAATTAATAAAATTTTCAAAAACCTGAAAACATGTTTTTTAGCTACTTTCTAAATGGTTCGTATGGAAAATTTTTATAAATCTCTGACTCTTTGTCAATAAAAAATACTAATTGATTTTTTTTGATACAACCAATATTTATCGAGTTATGATGTGATAAACAATGGCCTACGGCGGGACACCTAATATTTTGGTTGTTGTATAACTTTTGAAAAAAAAATTTTTTGTTTTTTTTGCGTTTACAAATACTTTAGGACCTCCTCTACAACATATCCGAAACTTAAGTAAAAGTAGTTTTTGGCCAATTGAAATAGTGTGGAATGCCTCATATACATATGTATACGCACATAATGGAATTTTCTATTTGAATTATACTAGTTTTACTTACATACACATGTACATATTTATATATTTTGAATTATTACTTCCCAATAAACACAACGAATTCGCCTTGAATTCGAGACGAGCACGTTTTCTCTGATAGAACTATCGAGACGATACTTCGCGGCGATAGATCGGCGAATTCGATTTCGTAGGAGGATCACCTGTCGTTAGCGAATCGAGTATTACTAGTTTTTCGAATCGTTGGCGATTCGAGACCTTTTTTTCTTCGAATTGCTGGCGATTCAAGAATATTTAGTTTTTCTAATCGGTGCAGATTCTATAATTATTATTTTTCGAATTTATTTTCTGAAAAATAAATGTTTCACTTCCTGTATATTTATTAATAGAAGGATTCAATAAACGTAAATAAACAATAGCGTTTAAGAATACAACAAAAAAATTTTTCGAGAAAACTGATTTACTCGAGCTCGCCTCGAATTCGAAACGAGCCCAAAAAATATATTCGAGAAATTTATTTCTCGAGTTCGTCTCGAATTCGATACGATGCCACCCACCCTCGTTTTTGTGTTTATTGGGTTTGTATGCACAGTATGTATATGAAATACCTAAAACCAGTGTGCGGACTATACCACTTATGTGCTAGATCTACCACTTTTTTTGCTAAATTGCGTTTCTACCACAGTAAGCTTAAAATCTACCACATTTTACAATTTTGCTCATCCTTAGTTTTCTGTTGATTTTGTGTAATGTCGTGAATTAGAATAGAGAGAGAAAAACTGATTCCTGTTTCTTTTCAACACGTGCCAAATTTGCTGGGTGATAGGATCAGTGAATTGGTGTAATTCAGCTGCGAAATCAATAGCTTTAGACGGGAGTGCACAAAATGGACCAATTTATGAAAACGGTGCATTCCAACGTGATGCTCAAACTTTAAGTAATTTCTCTTTAACCATTTATTGGATAAGTCTCAGAATCTTAACACTTGAAGTCAGATATCAGATTATTACGAAACTAATAAAGTATAAAACTTAATTATATAATTTACACAGAAAATGACATTTTCCAAAAGTGGCGGGTGGGACAACGATGACTCCCGCCTCTCTGAGTTGATGGATTCGTTTCCCAACTTTAGACAAACTATAAATTTTCCGTTCGAAGCGCCTTTCTCGTATGTAGCAAATAAAATGCCAAGGCCCATTTTATGCTTTAATGGCATTATCATATTTAAAAATTAAAAAATAAACTCTTTTAGCTTGTGCTGGGTGTGACAGTATTTTGTGACGGGGTAAAAAAATTGGCTGTGACGGGTGGGACATCCAATAGGCATTTCTTTGAAAGCTGACAACTTCTCACCAAATGTAAATCTATTTTTGTAATAACTCAGCACTGTTTTAAAGTCCATGAGGTTTACTTTCTCTTTGGATAATTATTATTTGCATTGTCAACTTAAATACACGAGCATTGCCTTGACAACTTGATGTGAAAATACTATATGAGAAATAGTCGCACTACGGTTGCGTTTATAACAATAAAAATAGAGAAAATAGTGAAAACTAAATCGATAAAAATCGATCTATGATAACCTTCGCTAAAATGACCCTAAGGTAAATTTATTAAGCTATTTATAAAATATATTTTGATAATAAATACTTTTCAGGAGAAAACAAACCCCTCCAAAACAATTACCGGTGGAAGATAGTTCAACAAAACAGCAAAATACGTTTGTTTTTCTTTTACATTTGTAATATATGTAGGATTTCCCTTGAATCCAATTAAATTCGCATTTCAGTTTTTACGCAGGTTTGCTTATTTATTTTATTAAACCAAAACATGAAATACAATGTTATAGGTTGAAGCCTGAGGTCCGTCCGGTGCTCGTGATCGCGTAAATTCGAATGCCGTTCTTGTCCGTTTTTTTAGTTGTGGTTCCCCTCGTCAAGTTGTTCGCTTATTTCTTTCACTGTCCTTCTTATACAATGTTGCATCTGGAAGTCAGTGTTACCTGACTGTACGATATTGTGTTATTTCGTAAGTGGTAAGTAAGTGTTGTGATATCTTAAGTATTGTCCGGCAGTCAAATCCTACAATTCGGCCATCCAAGTGATCATTCGACCCCGAATGATGGGCTCCACGGTTTCATGAACTCAGCGACGGTGGTGGTGCGTCTGGGTCCCTCGTGGTCGCCAACCTTGACTACTTCCAAAGAACTTGGGTCTTAATTTCAATGCGACTCCGTACTGAGTCCGCTGTATGGCCACCAATTCGTTGAGGTTGTAGTTGGCCTCTGCTCTACGCCGTGCATTGAATGTGCGTCGATTTTCTCGTTGGATGACGGAGAAATTATCTTGTGCTTGTTGGCGTAAGGTTTCTCTCTCCGCATCTTCCAGCAAATCCTGAAATGCGGGCATGCCTTCTATTCGCATTTCCAATCCCGCCAAGATCTTGAATGGGGATTGCCTGGTACTCCTCGGCGGTGTACTATTTATTATCTGCTGCACGCGATCGACGTACTTGTACCAATGGCCTTTATTCTCGCTAAACATCTTGGATAGCATGGGAACGACGATCCGATGCATGCGTTCCACTTGGCCGTTTCCTCGAGGAACGCCAGTTGCTATCACTAAATGCAGAATGTTCTCGCTTGCACAATAAAGCGATTGGAGGTGAAGGCTGCGCCCCGGTCGGTAATGATTCGCCTAGGATTCCCGAATACTGAGGATTGTTTTTTCATGCGATCGATCACGGCTTCTGCACCAGTGTCCTTGGTAGGATACAGCCAGACGAATATTGAAAAGGCGTCTACTACCACCAATAATTACTACTAATNGCTGCGCCCCGGTCGGTAATGATTCGCCTAGGATTCCCGAATACTGAGGATTGTTTTTTCATGCGATCNTACTGATGACTGTTTTTTCATGCGATCGATCACGGCTTCTGCACCAGTGTCCTTGGTGGGATACAGCCAGACGAATTTGGAAAAGGCGTCTACTACCACCAATATGTAATTATAGGCCTTTTTAGTCGTCTCCATTGGTCCCACATGGTCGACGTGGAAGGTTCCGAGTGGTTTGTCTTCCTTACTGATGGTGTTGAGGTAGCCTTCCTTCTTCCCTGATTTGGCGTCGGTAATTATACACTCCACACAGCTCTTCACTACTCTGGCCACTTTTGCGTTCAAGTGAGCAATGTTAAATGACTTTTCCTCTGCTTCTTGGGTTCTCTTGATGGAGAAGTGCCCCTGATTGTGTGCCATCTTAATGATTTCGTCCTCCATTGGCGAAGGTACGACAATAAGTTCCTTCGTTGGATCTTTGTACAAGATGTCATGCTTTACGTAGTAATCTTCGTATTCGTCTTTCTCTAGCACCTTCCGAACTGTCCTTACCCAATTGTTNCTTCGTATTCGTCTTTCTCTAGCACCTTCCGAACCGCCCTTATCCAATTGTCTTGGAGCTGTGCCTGTTTCAGGCGATGGCTGAGCGAGTCCTCCAACATCAGGCACGATACCCTGCTCAGGGCATCCACATGCCGCATCTTTGTGCCACTCCGGTGTTCAATCTCGTAATCGAAGTCTTGTAGGAACATTGGCCACCGGGATACTCGCAAAGGGACATCTCGTTTCTTCATGGTCATGGCGAATGCGTTGCAGTCGGTGATTATTTTGAATTTTAGTCCCAGCAAGTACACTCGCCACTTTTTGAGAGCTTCCACAATCACCAGTACCTCTGGTTCGTAAGAGTGATATTTCTCTACTGTCGGTTTAGTTTTACGGCTCATATATTGGACCGGGTGGAATTCTTGGTCGTCACTATCTTTCTGCAGCATTACTGCGCCATAACCGTACATACAGGCATCCGCATGCACTTCGGTTACTGCCTTCGGGTCATACAGCTTCAAAACTGGTGCGTTCGTTAGGGCCGACTTCAACTGCTGGAATGCTGCTAGCTGCTCGTCTCGTAGTTCGAACCTGGCGTCCTTGATCAGTAAGTCTGATAGCAATAATAGCGTAGTTTTCGACGAACCGTCTGAAATACGGCGTTAACCCCAGGAAGCGTTGCATTGCCTTCTGGTCACGCGGTAATTGGAAATTCTTAATAGCACTCGTTTTCGCGTCCGAAGGTTTTATTGAACCATTTTCGATTATGTAGCCGAGGAACTCGACCCTTCTCATTAGAAATTGACACTTACTCCAATTCATCCGTATACCAGCCGCTGCAGCCGTCCTCAGCACTTCCTCCATCATCCTTGGAGGGAATCGTCAGGTCATCCATATAAGCTACCACCGTTCCACTACGTATCAAATCTCTTAATACTGCGAAAATAAATCGGGAAAATACCGTCGGCGAGTTTGAGATCCCAAATGGCACGTATCCGAACTCGTATTGGCCATTGTGCGTTACAAATGCGGTGTACTTCCGCGAATCCAACGCTACCGGCACATGGAAGAACCCGTTTGTGAGATCTAACGTCGTGAAAACATTTGATCCTTGTAGCTGCTCGATGACGTCGTCCATCATGGACATGGGAAAACTGTCTCGTAAGATTTTTGCGTTTAAGCGTCGGTAGTCACAACAGAGGCGTTTACGTCCGTCCTTCTTTGAGCCCAACACAACTGGCGACGCGTAATCGGAGCTGCTCGGTTGGATGATGCCTTCCGCTAGCCACTCCGCCACTTGCTTCTCCACCACACGTCGGTCAACGTAAGACATCCGCCTCGGTCTTTCGTACACAGGGTTTTCATCGGTTAACACGACCTTCATTTCGACGGGCGATTCGAAATTGCATCTAGGCTTATAATTGGCTATTAAGTTCCTCACAGCAACTGCATGTTCCTTGCTCAGATCTGTTCCATCTCTGGTGCTTTCTTCATGCCCGCCACTAGGTATAACTCTCCGAGCTCCTCGACCAGCTCGACAACTCGGCTCTCCTCGTTCCCCACTACTGGGTCTACAGTAACAGCGGAGTGCGCGCTCCCTCCATCATTGCCCATCTTTACCGACTTCCGCGTCATCTCACTGTGTCCCTGTGGCCTAACAGCTACACCAAAACGCCCGCTCGCGACTTCGCAATGCACTGCTGCCAATACCTCTTCCGTATCGATGTGCTTCCGCAGCTCCTTCTTCCCATCTCCGCGACTAGGGACGCTCATACGCTCCTCTTTGCCACTCATTAATTTGTGTGCCGTCTCTTTACGCGCAAATGTTCCACACACTTGCCTCCTCCTACCGCCGCTTCGATCTTCCGATGCACCTCCTCGCTGACCTTGTTTTTAAATTCCACGCTTTCTTCTGTGACCACCATGTCGACCTGCTTTAGCACATCATTGCCGACCACCAACGCGCAGCTGATGTCTCGCTCCCTAGCAACGTGAAATTCTATGTCCATCCGATGCCGTCAATAGTGACGTTAACGGTGAAGTTACCCATAGTCGTGATTTCACTTCCACCGATGCCCACCAAACGTCGTCTCTCCTTACCAAGCTCTACATCTAGGCGCAACATCATTAGCGTATCATAACGCATCAAGCACAAGTCCGAGCCTGTGTCAATCAGGGCGGATACATTACTCCCGTTGAAATTTAATTCCTTAAAGATTAACCCGCATCTCTTCTTTGCTGACATCATGTTCGTGGATGATTCTGATTTAGCTGGATTACCAGCCAACCTACATTCTGATGCGCGATGTCCCTACCACACCTAAAACATTTCATATTACGCTTACGTGGACAATTTCTAGCGAAATGTGAAACGTCGCCACAATTGAAACAGCTTTTCCTGGTCGAACTCGAACTATTGGCCCGTATTCTTTCATACACTTTGATTTGTTCCTTTAAATCCCTAATACATTTGGCCTGATATAGGTTACTTTTAATTGCTCTCGAGTCAGGTATCCCCTCGATAAAATATTCGATAAGGCCAGAGTCGTCTAGACTTATCGGTTTTGCTATCTCCAACATAATGTATAAGTATTCGCATAGGTCTTCTCGCGGACGCAACCTACGGTTCCTAAGAGTGCCAAAACCGTGCCGGTGGTACCAAACTCCTTACGTAGAGCTGCTTTTGGTAGCTCCCAATTCTAAATACCGTCTTGGCTACGAATAAATAGCTTAGCTGCGCCTTTCAACAATTGCTTCGCGTATATGTACATCTGAAGCTCACTCCATTGAACGGCCATCGCATTATCCTCAAAATCTTCTAACCATTTTTCAAAACTGGGTTGACCGGATCCGCTGAACTTTGTTAGACTCTTCAACATCTCGAAGAGTAAACACCGAACGCCCCACCTACCGCCGCAGGAACACTACGTTGACTAGCAAAATCATCTAAATCGTCGGCATAGCTGTCACTAACGTTCAAGCCAAAATGTGCTAATAATCTGTCCTGGAGTGTAGCCTTCCGTCCGTTTGTCGCTAACCCCAACTGCTCTAATTTCTCTTTCAACCCATCTACGGTCAGCCCTAGAATTTGGTCGCGGTCCATGTCGCACAATAATATTACAACAATATATTCAATATCAAATTTTTAATTAGTTGTCAATAATCGTAGGGTAATAGGGTAATTCTATTGACTAACATATGCAAGTGGTTGATCAATTTCGGGAAATGGCTGATTACTTGTTGATAGGGTGCCAGATTTTTTATGCGCGAAATCAGTACATTAGCCTTTTTCATGCTAAAAAAAAATAAGTACTTTTCAGTACNACATATGCAAGTGGTTGATCAATTTCGGGAAATGGCTGATTACTTGTTGATAGGGCACGTGAATTTTCTTCCAACAAATATTTACTTAAATTGATAGTTTCTTTCTAATATTTGAGTGGTAAAAAAAAATAGATTACATTACGTAACAGTTTAAACACCGGTTTTGTGGAACCACATACAAAATTTTACGTTTACAACTTGAAAACCATCGGCCTGCTAACACAAAACAAATTACCGTTCTTATATGTGTGCCTGTCACTGTTTTCCCGTTTTTGCAAATTTACATATACAAAAGTACAACGATATTACAATAAAAGTNAAAAAAACTGTGGTGAAGTCCTTTATGGGGATAAAGTTTCCAGAGGTGAAATTTTAGGTAGCACACAATTTCTTACACGCATGGTTGCTTTTCAGCACTCATGAAAGAAACTTAAGAAATATATGAAAAAAAAGTTCATATAGTACGTTAATTTTTGAAAAAAATACCATATAATGTATGTACTCTAGTTAATAATATCAAAAAATGTATTAGAACCACCGTTTAATGTTATATTTGATACAAATTAATATTGCTACCCCGAACGCTCTGCGCATTACCTCTGAATATTAGAGTTACTTAAAATTACATCCCTGGTCCTTGTTCTTTCTGTATCGCATCGTGGTGAATTCACATTTCTCAGAAATTTGACAACAAAACAAAACAAAGTGAGTATTTTATTTGCTAATTTTTGCGATTTCTATTGTTTAATGTAAATTTATGTCTTTTAGGATATGTTGAGGCAACGAAGAAGGCCCAGTTTGAAAATGGAGTTATTAGTAATGAAGTAGCAGGCATATTTGGAAAATTATGCCGATAAGCAGGATGGAATTTGTGAAAGTAAGTGCCTGGTTGCAGCATATCTATGTATTAACAAGGTATTTAATTAAATGAAATTGCGTTTAATGCAAATGTTATAAATCGTGTGGCGTTATTTAAGATGTGCTCCAAACATTTGGCGGACTTTTTTTCGCCTTCTCAACGTGCTAAGTTACAAGTTAAGATGACTACTACCACGGCCGGTAAGAAGCCCGAAGCAAAGTGCAAACAACCTTCCAGGAAGCTGCCTGCTGTCCCCGAGTCGTAGCTGTAGTTCAGTAAGAAGCAGGTCAGCAAACGTGCTACCGTGATCAAGCGTAAACTAAAGCGCTCTGCTGTGATTGCACTCGGCAAACGTGAAAACTTGGTGCATGCTGAGAAATATCAAGCAAAATATCCGCCGTGAGAATAAGTTGCGCCGTCTGGCAAAGAAACGCGGCTTTTGTGCTCTGTATCCGCGGCTGCACCAAAAGTGCGTGTTGTTTTACAGTTCCGTTCTCGCCATATTAAACACGGTTTGTTTATCAAATTGAACAATTAATACGCTACGCATTGCCGAACCCTATATTACATGGGGTTATCCAAATCTCAAATCAGTTCGTGAATTGATCTATAAACGTGGAATTGTCACGCACAACTATCAACGTGTCCTAATCTCTGACAACTTTGTGATCGAACGCAAATTGCGTAAAGAGCATGATATTCATTGCGTTGATTATTTGGCGCACGAAATATTCACTGTTGGATCCCACTTCAAGAAAGCCTCCAACTTCCAGTGGCCATTCAAGCTCAACACCAAAGATGGTTTAAAGAAATTTTTTGCTGTACAAGGTGAAGTATTTTTATTTCAAAAATATATAATAAATAAAAATAGAACATGTTTTTTTTTTAACGTTCTGAAGGTATAAACCGCAAATACGCCAAATGGAAAGCAGCTTATATTCGCAATTCCTTGAATAATGTCGAAATTCCATTGCCGTTTCTAAAGGCCATTTCAAAAGGCTCCAATCCACAAATTTAATTATATGCGCGCAGGGTTGCATTTACCGCGTATGAAAATATTTCATGATGCGTTCCAAAACTAGCTCCGAGCAACTAAAAGTTGGTTAAGCTTAAGTAATATAGTTTTTTATTTTTGGTCCTGACGTATATAGAATTAATGCGTTAGAGAGAGATAAAATACAAGCTCAAAGCGCTAATTTAGGTATACTTGTATGTATATACCTGTTACTCGTCTAGCATATACTCGAACTACGAAAATAATGACAATTATAATTTATTTAGATGCATTTTTTAGCTAAATGTTATATCGTCGCCTGAATAAAAGATTGTTACAAGTTACTTTCGGTCACTCACGATTGAAGTTTGGAATGCAATTTCTCAGAAACCCGATTACAGATTTTCTCCAAAGTGTCGGAGAATGCTATGTACTAGTTCACAAGATTCTTAAATTATCTAATTTTTTTAGTTTAGTGTCAACCATTTATGAGTTTAATAAAATTGTGTCGTATACGACATTTGTCAAAAAATTTGCAAACAGTTTTAATTNACAGATTTTCTCCAAAGTGTCGGAGAATGCTATGTACTAGTTCACAAGATTCTTAAATTATCTAATTTTTTTAGTTTAGTGTCAACCATTTATGAGTTTAATAAAATTGTGTCGTATACGACATTTGTCAAAAAATTTGCAAACAGTTTTAATTATATACGCCAAAATGTGATAACAATTTTTTATAAATTAACGATACTTTTTACAACAGATTTACATGATTCAAGTACTTGAAAGCAATTCATGCTCATTCTCTTTTGTGTTTTCTATTTGCTTTTACACGTTCCAATTCTGTTGAATTCAAGTGTTTGGTGCTTTAAATGGGAAGCAACGAAAATGCCAAAAGCAAAGCAAGAAAGTAGAAACGACTTGACGGTACAGACGCATGTGTACTCGTCCCTTTTCTTCTCACCCCCTCTCTTCCACATGCGAGCAGAATTGAATTCAATACTTGAACTGTGTAAAAGCAGTCTTACTAATCAGCCTAATCGCGAGTTTCGCCCGAACAAAATTTCGCCAACAATTTTTCATCCACCTGTAGTGAATACACGCAAACGAAAAGTAAAAAAGTGACCCGGTTCTAGAAAATGAAACTCATGATAAGGCTGCATATGTCCGAAACTAAAGAAGAACAGATAACTATATTTGAAATATCTTGATTAGTTTAGTACGACAGCAATACTAACGCAATTTGTACCAAATAGCCCAAAGCATTTTAGTCAATTACTCGGAAACTAAAGAAGATATCCAAAAACCAGTTAACAAAAAATTTAAATATCTTATTTTAAAATATATAACTGCATCTATAACTACAAATTGTCAAAATGACGCTTCCGGCAATTTTCCATCCAAGCGACGATATTTGAATGTTACTCGCATAATTTCGAGCATGTATGTAAATTTTCGGGAAAAAAGTTAAAAAGTATATTCATCTGCTGAAAAGATATTTTCGCAGATTCACAATTTCTTTAAAGTAAATCTATCAGCCCTATCTCCAATTCCATGTGAATAAATCTCTCCAGTGCTTAAATAACTTTCACCACACTAAATAGCTGCACAACACCCTAATTGCCGAAAAAGCGTTGCTTGCAACACTAGTCCTTTTTGGGGACCAAATTNCAGCCCTATCTCCAATTCCATGTGAATAAATCTCTCCAGTGCTTAAATAACTTTCACCACACTAAATAGCTGC